CAGGGGGTTTATCTTTCACTGAGGCCACTGCTATGGCCTTGGCAGTTTTCATCGGCTTGGTAAGCCTTAGCTTCTGCAAAATGCGTAGAAGCTGCACTAATTGCTGGATCGCATCTCTTACTGGTTGATTCACTGCATCTGGCTCCAAGGCCAACAAGGCCGAGGTGCACTCTGTTGGTGGTTGCTGGCAAAACTTCCTCCACAGCAGTGCTGTCATGACTTCTGCATCTGGTGTGTGAGTACAAACCGCTGTACGAATGATTTCAGTTAGTGATAACAAATACAAGCAGTGGACAGCCTCTTTTAAATTGGCCCATGCCCAAGAAGCAGGGTTAAACTCTTTTTCTATATTACCATAACTGGCTGCAGTGGCTTGGAGCACAGCAGAAAACAAAGTAACATTTTCATCACTTCTTGCAAACTGATTTAATTGGAGCTTAGGGCATAGAACCATTTGGGCTGTTTGGCTCATTTGCTGAAATTGCAAATGCCCCTTCACTACACATTTGAACTAGCCAGTTTATTACTGGTTCTCCTGGCTTTAATTCATGCTGCTTTTGAATATTTTTAATCTTTGCACAGGTAAAGGAATGCAGCTCTGTTCGGGGATTTTCTCTTTACGGCTTTGAATGAGTTATTCCCATGGGAAAAACTTGGCTGAGTTTCTCCCTCGGGGCGGGGAAGGCCTGGCCAGGTTCCTCCCTGTAGGCAGGAACATACGGGGGTGTTTCAGCACCAGGCTCATCATAAATCTCCTCCTCCCCATCAATCTCTTCCCTTTGATCTTCCCAGAGCTTAACCTTTGCTTTTTCTCTATACAGACACTTGTGGGAGGATCGCTTCATAGCCTGCGCTAACTGCACTTTCTTCTGGGGGGAGCGGCCATGCACGGGACCATAATTTTTCCTTTCTTCTGTTTTAATGTTTCCAAGCAGCTCTGCGTAGCTCGCACAGCCTTGCATGCCACACTTGGAATTTCTCACATCTTTTAACTCCTTACTCAGCCGGGTGACCTCTTCCTGGAGCTGGGCATTCTCTTTGGCCCCTAACCTCAGGCAGGTTGCCAGCAGCCATGACAGGCACCCCTTCTCGGGCTTACCCTGGGCAGCAGTAGCAAACCTAGCCCAATGTTCAGGTACAGTTCCCGGCTCACTCCAGGCAGGTCTCAACCTATCCTTATCCCACCCGGGATTCTCCATCCCCGTCACTTCCTTAAGCAAAGCTACTAATGGGGCACACGCAACTCCCTCCATTCCGACCTTTCTCTCCGGACCAGAGCCTCTCAATCCTGTTCGTGACGCCAATTTATTTCCCAGCCGCCTGCGGAGGGTTCGGGATTGAGAGTATGGTTGGGGGTAGAAAGGTAAGAAAGATTTATTGACTTAACAAAAACACAACTACGTGTAGTAACAAGACAAACAATGACAGACAAAAGCAATTCACGTCGGCAACTTATCGGCAGTCCCCTCTGATGCCTGATACACAGCAAGCTTCTTTTCCTCAAAGTTCAGTGAAGTCAGGCATCCCTGAACAACACTGTCCAAAGGGGTACTGGAAAGGACCCTGGAATGCAGTTCTTGGGCTCTTCGAGTCCACAGGCCCACTGATCCAGGCAACAGCTAACTAATTCTTTTCACAGAGCTGTCTCTTCCTTCTGAATGGTTTCCAGATATTCCAGCCAATTTAAAGCTTCTGAATGATACTGATACCGTACAACCACTCAGATTCCTTTGACTTCAACTGTCCTTAGACTGACCAATTAGCAGTACAAGCTTTGCATTCCTTTGATAAGGTAATTTTAACTACGCCACAGGGCCTTACTACTTCAAGGCTTTGCTAAATTTACTAGGCCTTACTTTATACAAGGCCTCACTACATCTTAAACTTTAATTAGGCTTTTAGCAACAACATATAGCTTAATATCTAAACAAATACAGAAAAAACACGTCATCTAATCTTCATAGGGCCTTCAGCAAGCACCTTTATCACACAAACATAATTTCAGCTGTCACAATGTCAGTAAATTGCTTGTGGGATCGGCATCTGCTGATATGGTTGGTTAATAATTGGCTAACAGTATTGGCCAAGAAAATCTTTACCAGTGCACCCCTAATATACATTATGCTGCTTAGTGCTATTAAGACTGAGACACTTACAGACAAGCACCAAAATGGAATTAGGTTCCACAGTCAGGCACCTGTGAAGTCAGGGTTAGGCTGCGGGTGAGTGGGGTTTTCATCTTTCCCATGTTGGACAGAGGTGTAACATAAGTACCCAAGTCCTAATTTAGACACAAAAGTGTTTTTTGGATCTGACCTTAAGTTCCTAAATCACTTAGTTGCGTTTGAAAATTTTACCTTTGATCCTGCTCCTACAAGCAATCAATGTAAGTTTTATAATGGACATTTTCAGTGCCTTTGAAATTACTCTTGTAGCTAGTTTCCTTCTGAAGGACTTGAACAAGTTGCTTTGGAAGGGTTTTCTAGGATTTATATTCTGCTATTGCCACATAATGATTGACATCAGAGCCAAAGTCTTTTTGGACCTCTTATTAACCATCTGGCAAGCAATAAATAACACCCCCAATTACACCTTCCATAACACCCCCAATTAGGCAACTCTGACAGTGCAACATAAAGAGATTTTTATATCCATATGTGCCCATAGGAACATGGGCACAAAACACATTATACAGTAAAAATTGTACATATGTAGTGAACAGAAATGTCTATTAATGACCATAATATCTGGAGGTATCTACTGAAATAAGAACTGCTCTGGAGAATTCCAGCCTGCTGCTCCTCTCCTGGAATTGAGATCACCAATGCTGCTAGTCATTCTTCTGAAAGACCTTAGCGAAACTTTCAGTGCTTCCTGATTTTCCTTTTTGTTGAAATTTTATTATTATTCCTCCATTTTTATTTTAGATCTCCAAATCTTAGAATTGATCTTCAGTGGCTCCATGCAACCTCCTTTTTTCTGGTGTATAATTTATTTAAATCAATCTGGTTTATATTTTTTTCGTTCTGATTAATATAAGTATCTTTGAAAAGTACATGGTATTTTTTCTGAATTCAGCAACTATTTTATGCACTTGGGAGAAGTTACCTTCACTAACTCATAAACAGCACAGTATACTCCCACATGCACAAACTGTGATTCCCCCCCACTCCCCTGTTGGCTACAAACCCACCCCCCACTCCCAGGGTGCTCTACCACCCCACCAGTCTGAGTTCACTAGCCGTGCCTGAGAACTACCTGTGGCAATGCTACATGACTGTGCCCCCACTGCCGGGGAGGACATTGCCACTGGCATTGATGTGTTCTTTGGGATGTGAGAGGCCCATGCCTGTCCAACTGCAGGGAAGTGTGCTGCTCAATAAAGTTTTGCACTGTGTCCCGCCTCTCTGCGTGCTGTGGGGGGAAACCTGGGGCCAGGGCAGTGCAGGTGGGTTAGGCAGGGGCAGGGGCTGGGGTGGGGGCAGGGTCCTCCCAGCAGACCAAGTTGTGCAGCTGTGCCTGGTGTCCTTGGCCTATAGCATGCAGGCACCCAGCTGCCTCCCCTTTGAGGAGCGGGCCCTGCTGATGGCTGGTGGTGACATGGCCACTGTTCCTCGTGGCGGGGCCTGGAGCTGCACAGCTGTTGAGGAAGGCACTGGCCAGGGCTCTCTGAGCTGCTGCTGGAGGCTGCAGTCAGGGAGCTGGGCGGGATGAACTGCTACATGCCTGAGCACCCCTCCTTTGGCTCCAGAGGGGCTAGGGCCAGGTGGGGACTTGGGTAGGCCATCCTTCTGGAAATACACCGCATGGTTATGGCTTTGGTCCCAGGGCATCAAAATACTGATCTGCTGCCTCATAAGGGGCATGGTTTTGCAGGCACAGCTAGATCAAATATAGTCAGTCATGGTGACCTACTGTGTACACAGAGCCTTGACCCTTATGCATCACTGCTGCACTGATCTGTCATTCCCCCGCTCCTGCATTCTGCCTGACAGGGCCTCATGAATGTGGGCACTGTAGTGCCAGCCCCACTCCAATTGGTGCAGCACCTCCATGTTGCCCCAGTATGCCATGAGGTCACCAGTCTCCTCCTGGCTCTAGTTGGGGCCCTGGGTGGAGGGCACGGGCGTGCCTAGATAGTGAGAATGAGGCAGTGCTAGGTCCTGTGCTGGCTCTTTGGGCCCCTGTGTGGCTGTCCGGCTATTGCCAGCCCTAGGCAGCTGCTAGCAGCACCCATCCAGGGGCATGGCATGGGACTGGCAGCCATGTGGCAGAGGCTATGCCCTGCAGTACGTGCAGGTGCAGGGCAGGCTGCTGGGGGTGTGCAGCAGGCAAGTGGCGCTGGCCTTGCTGCCAGAAGCAGCCTGCAGGCAGCCCTGAGGAGCTGACAGGGCTGGTCAGGGACTGTAGCAGTCTGCAAGTCTGTTCAGCACTCAACTGGCCTGACAGCAGTGCCTTGGCCGGTGTGTGGCAATTCAGTGCCAGGCAGCACTGCTGGTGTGTTGGGAGGTAGACACAGCAGGGCTGTGGCCTGCCCAGAGGGATACAGGGCCTGCAGTGAGTGCCCTTAGGCTCCCTGGTGTGTGTGCCCCAGGGCACAAAATGACTGTAATCTTTAATAGCCCTCAGATGGGGCTGCCATAAAGGCAGCCGAGCCCTGGAGCAGGAGAGGTTCCTAGGCTGCAGGCCTGGGGCTGGCCTCAGGCTGGCCCCCTAGTGGCTGGTCAGACCTGGCAGCAAATTTACTGCTGGGTTGCGTCTACACATGTATTACTGTGCAGTAACTAATCATGGTTAAATTTGCTACCTGCATTTGCAGGTAGCAAATTTAATCACATTTAAGGGGTTTTACTATGCAGTAAGCATGCACACATGAAGATGCATGCACTTACTCTGCAGTAAACTAGGCAACTGCACAGTAAGACATCTCATGTACACATGCACATTAATGCCAAAATGTATAGAATCCATTTTAAGAAATTACAAAAGCTTTAGTTTGTGACACTTAAGTCTGAACCACACCACACCTTATCAACTCAGCATCTGAAAAGTGTGGAAGTAAAAAGCCAAGGAAAAAAAAATCTTATGCACTTCTTTCTGCTTTCATTTTGCCTATAACACTTAAAATAGTTTTAACTTCCACTTCCAACAGGTACCACAAACACAATACATACGTCAACTTCCAGCTTGCACACTAATGCAAAACTTTAACCTACAAACTCAAATTCACTTCCATCAATAAATAGACATAGCTGACTGGTGAACAGTCCAGGCACTAGGCTGTTTTTCCTTAAGATTCCTGTGGTTGCAGATTTTAGGGTGGATTTCAGTGGAATTGCAATTTACACTATGGCAGCTAATGTGCGGAAAGAGGTGCCCATAAGGGATAAGCAGCAAGCTCTGTGTTACTAATGTTCTGCTGTACTTGGAAATAAAAGATTTGATGTTAGCCCTGACAGCTATGCATGATCCTTATGATGGTCATACTAATAGGCGCTGCATTTCAGAAGACCTGATCTTAAATGTTGTCACCCAAGCTATTCAGCTGTTGGTGACAGGCTTTCAACTTCAGTCATTAGGTGCTAGTGACCAGTTAATAGTGTTGGAAATGCATAAAGCAATAATATTATAAAACAGCCATGAGAAAAGTAACCCTCTCTTTTGAACACTGTCTTGCTACATGCTACTTTTCAGGGGTCTCTTTCCACAAACACTTTGAGAAATAAGAGATGTTTTCATTTTATGCTGTACAAATAAGGTACTATTGCAGTAGCATAAAAAGAGGTACCGTCTTGTATAAAAGTGCACAAACACACCAGGGTTTGAGCTTTAAAGTTTTCTCCTACATTTTTTCTTTAAATATTAATTCAGGATGCATACATGCAGATCTGAAACTCTAAAACGCTTGGTTCAGAAGTGATGCCTTTTATTAGGCCAACTAAAAAATATAAAAAAGCAATTCTTTCTTTGCAAGCTTTCGGGCACGTGCACCCTTCTTCAGGCTGAGGAGAAATCTAAGAAATTAATTTCATTTTGCACTGAAGTTTATTTTCTACCTAAGAGGACTTTTACAATTTTTTATTTCTCCTCAGCCCGAAGAAGGGTGCGCGTGCCCAAAAGCTTGTGAAGAAAGAATTGTTTTTACTATTTTTTAGTTGGTCTAATAAAAGGCATCACCTCTGAACCAAGCATTTTAGGGTTTTGTATTTTCATTTGTCTCAAACCAACACGGCTATTTTGTGGTAGTGTTGGAACTGGTCTCCACTGTGGAGCTGCTCTCCAAAGCTGTGCCATTGTATAGGGGATGGATGTAAGCTACACTGGTGGGGAAGAGAGCCAGAAAAGTAGCAGAATAGTCTGGTTACTCACTTGGGACGGGGCATCTAGGGTTGTGATCCCTGCTCCTAGGACTGTCTAATATACAAATATAGAAATAGTCCTGGGAGCAGGGACTCAGAACCCTGTGGCTTGCAAGTGGCTGCATGCTGACTTTAGGCAACTTGAATCTTGGTATGCTCGTTCATTTGGATCCCACTGTGAGGTACCTAAATTTCCCTGTGGACTGTGTAAGGAGCTGAGGTATCTTAAGGAGTTTCTGAATTCTTGAAGGTCAGGCATGAAGACATTAGGCATTCTTTTATGCAAATAACTTTTAGGTGCCTAAGTACCATATTCAGTACTGCATTCATTTGCATACAATATGCACCCCCTACCTCAAATTAGCCACATATTTCAGTGTGTTGTTTAAGTAAGGAAACTGATATTTGTGCTGGAATTGAGGCATGGGGATGCTGTAATGGATGCTGGAAGCTGTTCTGTCTTCCTGGGCACATGGAGAAGGGAAGTTCTCAATGTCATTCCTTTCTCCTTGTAAACTGTACCGCTCAAACTTTAACCTGTCACAGCTGCTGCTGAATTGACAGCAGCTTTTGGGAGCAACTCCTCACTTTTCTCTTCCATGTCAGTTCGGCTTTGAAGAATGCTCAAACAAAGTTGCAGCTGTGAGGCACTTGTTTATTCTACAACACTGGTTCTTAATCTTTTTAGACTCCAGACACCCCTTCCATAATTTATTTGACTATGGAAAAATAATAAGCAATTCTTCTGTTGGAAAGAAGTCAGAAAGACCACAATGGGTTTAGACTGTTTTTGACACTATGGATTCCTATTCGAAATCTTTAGGTTTATCTGGTGAATCGTGTAGGTCTTTGAACACTTAGCAATGCTAATATTGTGCAGCAATCTGCGTCACCCTTAAAAGCATCTTACAGCATTAGTTGTGGCATCCTGGCTGAGAATCACTGTTCTACAGGCAAGGATTGCTACACAGAAATGGGCAATGGGCAATATGACTACGTACAGACAGTCAAAAAGCCTGAAATGGAATCGATTCCATTTTCACTGGTTTCTCTAAGCTGTATAGACTGAACCAATAAGGAACAGAACTGATGTTCAGTTTTCCATTGAGAAAGGCAGGAGAATGCCTGTACTGACCCAGGCCAGAAGCCAAGGGGTACTACAGCACGGCTCCCAGCCTGTCTGCATTGCAAGCCCAGCCAACTGCCTGCCCAGTACATGCCCCGAAGGTCCTGCTGTCCTCGCCGCAGGGGTTGAGAAACCCTGCCCCCCCATCCAGGTGCCAGTCCACAAGGGGGAGCCTTCACCTCAGGGGATTTTCCCTGGCCCAGGTCCCCAGCCTGGGGCAGCCCCTGAGAGCCAAGGGGAATTCCCCACCTCTTGCTCAACAGCTGCCACAGGAGGGAGGTGGAAGGAGCCCCCTGGGCCTAGTGCCTGCTCGTGCAGACCCTGGATGAGAGGACCAGTGCCAGGCCAAGGGGGATGCATTCCCCCCTCTGCCCCCTGCCTCTCAGAGACACAGGCAGCAGGCCAGGGGGCCTGGCTGGGGGTGATTCCAGCCCAGCTCGGGCTGTGAGGGGAGGAAAAGCCCCCCACATGGGCGCTATCCCCCCCATGTCATGCAGACCTGGGTCAGGAGGGCCTGGGGATCTGGTCCCCTGCCCTCCATCCCATCGGGCTGACAGGTGCAGACAGGGAGCAGAGGCTTTAGTGCTTCAGCTCTGTGACTGCTGGGGGGTGGGGCCAGCCCAGCTCTACTGGAGTAGACAGCATAACCCAGGGTTGCAAAGCATCCTGGGATGCTGGGGGCCTGTGAGTTAATTTGAGTCAGAAGGGGATCTGGGACACAGGCTCCATAAACTGGTTTAACCTAAATCAGTTAAGTCTGATACTACATCCATCCAGGTTTATCTTAAACTGGGTTTGGCCATTTTGAAACCAGTTTGTGTGTGCTGAATTTACTTTCTGTTACAGATTTAAACCAGTTTCCAATCACTTATTCTGGTTTATGTGTAACTTCTGTCCCTAGCCTATAAGAGCAGGTGGTCAATTTAAGAATGCAAGCATAACCAATGTTTTTTAGAATTGTTTTTTTTATAGCACACAAGCATTCAGACAGCTTTCGTGAACTGTGGGGAACAGTGATTAATATTGTATTATTCTCAATATAAGTTGACCTTGTCATATAAGTCTACCCCACATTTTCAAGTTCAATTTTAGGAAAAAAAGCTTTTTGCCTGAATATAAGTCAATAACCACAGATAACATCCTTGAACTGCTATTACCCTTTTAAAATTCCACAGGAGATTCAAATAACCAAGAGAAAGGCCCAAGGGATTAAATGCAGTTAAAAATATTAAAATAAAAAAAAAAAACAAACCCAGTGCCAAAGATAATTTTGCCTAAGGCTCACCATATTATTTCAGTTCTAAAATTCCATGGTGATACATATCAAGACAAACATTTTTAGTTAAATGGAAACTGTTTACAGGACTAACCAAACACAGGCCCAAATTAAAAGGCCAGATCTGAATTGTAGTTCTGGACTCAAATCTCATGTGTTATGTAGAGCCAAAACCCGGATCTAAGCAAGTCTGGTTTTAGAGGTTCAACATCCACATGTTCTTGTTTTTTTGAGGGATGTAGGAAAGGAGAAGTGATCAAACTACATGCAACTAGTCTTCATTTTGGAAGAATTAAACATATTGTTAATTTTTAAATATTTTAAATTTAACTTCAGACATATTTTAGTTTAGCGCTATACATTTTCATGATCACTAGTCTTCCAAAACAAAAAAGGCACAGTCCACTGGACCCCTCCCCCACACATACCTATTTTAAAAGTAGATCTTTAAGAGTGCTCTGCTGGGTCATCTGCTCTGGAACAGGGATGGCAGAGCAGATAGCCCTGTGTAATATGCTTAAAGGTGGCAAAACAGATAAGGGTTAGCCATTATAGGGTTAAAGATGCTGTACAGGGTCATCTTCTCTGTCCATTAATATATTGTTCTGATTACCTGTTGACCCTACACGTAGGTTGACTGGGATTTTTATGGGATTTGGGGGCGGGGAATGTCTATTTATAATTGGAACAATACAGTAATGGTGCTCCAGTAGGTATGTCCTTCTTTCTCTTTTCTAGTACTAAAACAGGTTATTGCCTTGATATACCAGAGTTTAAGTGGTTTGGGGTAGCAAGTGTTATGGTTGCTGTCAGGTCTCTCCCAAGGCCTCATGTGACTAGTGATCTGTTCCATGTTATCCTTTTTGCTTTGTATGCTGTCTCTGGCTGTGTTCATTTATTTCTTTATCCCTTCTGTTTATTGCTAATAATTTTTTTTTTGTGCAACAGCAAAAGAAGACAAAACAACTATTCTATAATTAAATGGAAAAGATATGCATGATTGCATAACAGCTGGTAAGGATTTCCAATGATCCCTTCTTCATTTATGGCCACAAATATTTTCTGCCCACATACTACACAGATGTCATTGGACGGATTCCTTGTAGGCATCCTACTGATGTTGTAAAACTGTCAGAGAATGTTTATAATGAAAAACCAAGCAACAACAACATAAACTTCAATTAGAGCCAAGGATATGCAACTCGGTGTTATGGTATGGCCCATAATAGGCAGCAGAGATAAGGGCAGGAGTGGCAGGGGCTAAAATCTAGGTGACAGGATATACGGACTGCTAGGTAGTTGATACAGAGAAAGTTAATGTCAAGCACACCAAACTGCACTCCAAC